GAGAGAGAATTGGAAAAAAAAGAAAACAAACGCGTGACTGAGTGAGAGAGAGAACAGGAGAAAAAAAGAGTACACACAAATCGTGTATATATATATAGAGAGGGGGGGTGTGTCAGACCCTCTATTCAGTGAAGTAAAAGAACAAGAGAAGAATGAGGAAAGAAGAAGAGTAAGCGTTCGAAGAAGACATACCTTGCCAATACAAATATGTGGCTAATCTTTTGTCTAGTGAAGAAGAGATCGATAAGGTCAGGTACAATATCTCTCCCATATCCGATTTTTTTTTCCTGTTCAAGAGACTTGAAGAAAAGTTGGATGCGAGTCCGGTCATTTCCCACGTGTATCCATGTTAGCTGGGGCGGAGCCACCCGTGGGCTAGGGTGGGCACATGCCCCCCCTCAATTTTTTTTTGCTTCATATCAAGCATGTATTTTTTGAAATAAAATTTAGGCATATTTAATTATGCCCACCCTAATATTGTGTTTTGGTGATATTAATTTGAATATACCCCTACCTAAATGATTGTTAATTTTTTGAGTAACGTTATTGAAACCTAATTTAAGGACCTAATACATGACGATATTAAGTATAATAGTGAGTTTTAATATTTAATAAACTCTACTATCTATCTAATGGTCATAAATCATTGAGTCTCCATCAATTAAATATCAAATTAAGCACAATTAATATAATTGTTAATTTTTAGACATGTTTTAGACATGATCGAATATGTTTTGAACATATTGATGTTATTTTATAATTTTTTTAAATTGTTGGGTTATTTCATTATTGTATAAAAATGTGTCGTTATGTAGTAAACTATAGGATCATAAATGGAAGATTGTTACTGCGATTTTGTATATAAAAGAAATATTGTTGATAAAATTAATTTGTAACTCTTTCAAATAATAAAAGCATATCAGGGTCAATTGTAAGTAATAATAATTAGTTGCATTCTTGACAAGAAGTTTTAATTATTATTTTTTGTTCATGTTATGTATATCAATTTTCAATTTTCTATGTTAAAAAATATTAAATATAATTTTAATAAATATAAATTTATGAACTTTTACGGTGTTTAAAAAAAAATTAAAACATACTAGTGTGCCCACCCTAAAATTTTTTTGGCTTCGCCCCTGCATGTCGGACACTTGTCTGACACCACTACGTTGAGCCTCGTTGGAATATCCGTACTTCTTAGTTGGTGATTTTTGTCGTTTGTTTTTTTCTGGTTGTTGGTGGTTTGAGCTTGTGTTGTTTGGTGGGGGTTTTTGTGCTTGTGTCGTTTGGTGGTGGTGACACTGTTGTTAAGGGTAGGTATGGGACGGTAGTTTTTGTGCTTGCGTTGTTTGGTTGTTGTGGTGATGGCAGATTCACTGATTATGGTGGTGGCATGTGTGTTCTGTGTTTGTGTCATCGTTTGGGGATGTGGTGGCATTGGAAGTGGGTGATGTGTCAATAACTATTTTGTTTTTGTTTTGCCTTTTTTTTTTATTATTATCTATTATTTTTTAAATCAGCTTAAGAATACAATAGTAATTGTACTGAGTCTATTAACTCCAGTAAACTTCTCTGTGTCATTTTCAAAACTAGTCATTACCCATGACATTCTTAACACAAAATTTGCCAAGCAAATAGGTCATTCAAGAATGTCTTAAATAAAAGAAGTGCATGGATTGAAATGAAAAAATTATATCACATTAACACAATCCTAAAATCCCTATGAAATTAAATTAACACCATTACAAAATTATCCTACATATATTTCTTCATGGTGGCTCTTATTTTCAATGAGTGTTCATTTTTTCAACCTCTTGTTAAATCTAATGAATAGGTTGTCTAGTTAACATTTGAACTACAAATCAAATTTTTAAAAAATAGAAAAAAAATTCAACTAAACTAAAATTGTCCAGCAAATCTGCTTTGTAGCTGTAAGGACAATTGATTTAAATTATCTGCCATTATGACTTCTCAGATGCTACATAAATATTCTCATGCTGCAATTAAACCAAATCAACAAAATAAAAAATTCACTACTTAAAAAAAATTGATTTAATTGACCTTTTTATCGTTTTGGTATCTATTTTGCATTATTCAAGTATTTAAAAAATATAAATATTAGTAAGGGAAAAACGATGCAAATAAGAAAAAAAAATTGGTAGGTGGTTTAGAATGATGTTTTTTTTTGTGCAATTGGTTTTACTTACATTTTTTATTAGTCATTGATATTTTTTTATTGGTAATTAGTTTAATTTTGAATTTTTTAGTTTTTTTTGATGTAGTTGATTTCACTTGTTATTTTTTGTTGGTGATTAGATTGGCTTTTAATTTTTTATTTATTGGTGCAATTAGTATCACTTGTTATTTTTTATTAGTGATTAGCTTGATTTTGAATTTTTTTTATTGGTAATTAGTTTGGCTTTAAATAAATTCAATTAGGATCGTCAAGATAAACAAATAATATTAAGAGAGAAAGTATGAGATAGCATTGTTTGTCTTCATGATTCTAATTAAACTTTCATTTATATATATATATATATATATATATATATATATATATATAAAGAGAGAGAGAGAAAAAGTATGAGAGATAGGAGAATGTGTGTTTAAAATGTTTGTGAGTGAAAGAGAGAGTTATATGTATATAAGTTGAGTGTATGAGATAGAGAGATAATGAGAGTTATATTAGCTATGGGAGTCTTAAGATTTTTAAAAGGAATGAAAGTCTAATTAGAATCGTCGGATTAACAATTCTCAAATAATTTGAGCCGCGAAAAGCTAAAGACAAAAAAATTTAGTTACTTCATTATATAGATATATATTATATATAGAGAGAGAGGAGAGGAGATGAGATAGTGTATTTAAAACGTCTAAGAGATAAGAGAGAGAGAGTTATATGAGAGATAAGAGTGTTAGAGTTAAGTCCAATTATGACTGTCGGATTAATATTTATGAGATGATTTGAACCGTCTTTTATGTTGAAATTACGTTGTCTATTGGATATGTTTATGTTTTGTTTCAAAACGATCTGGACCTTTATTTGTCTCCAAAATTCAAATTCACTTCTATTTTATTAAATAGATGTTAAGGGGTGTTCATATTATTTGGTCAGTCAAAGGTTGGGGAATGCGTATGAAATTTACCCCAATAAAATTTAAACTAGAAAAATGTTTGCTTGCCATAACAACGTTGATCCTTCAGGTTAAATTTTCCTCAGCTCAAGCAAAGCTAAGTTTGGTGTACCACCAAATTCGTTTATTCAATAAACAAGCCTTGAAAATAGGTTTGAACTCGGCTATTTTCCTTTCAAAGAAGTGTTTTAGCAACCGAGCCCAAGCTGGTCACGAACAGCTTAGTTCCTTTCAGGCTAAAAAAAGTATCACCAACAAAAAATGCTAGGATGGTTTATGGTTGAGGTTTGGACCCATTTTCCCAACAAGTAAATTTCCATTCAAATCTTTCAAAGCATTCTGAGTATATGTTATGCGTATTATTGGAAATTACATTTATCTATATACATCTAATTAGCATGGATACGGACACATGTCATAACTACGACATGAAATTTCCAAAAAAATAGAATATGGACAAATTGGGGACACATTACAAATAATCATGTGTTATTATAAAATTATATAATTTATCACAAATATTGTGATAATAATATATTATTCATAAAAAACTCAATACTTTTTGAAAAATAAATGTTATGTCTAGTTATCCGGTATGAATTTTTAGAATAAAACATCATAATAGTCAAATAATCATAATTTTTTGGGTAAATTTCATCTCACGCCTTGATATTTTGTTTTATTACACCGACGCCCCCTTACATTTCAAAAATAACACAGAGACCCCTTGACATTTGAACGCGTGTGATAACCGCACCCTTTTTGTACGATAAACATTAGCAATTTCTTTAAAAAGACTTTTTTACCCTTGTATATCAGCTAGACAATTCTATCTCCTAATCAAATTTGTCTTAAATTTAATTAAATCAAACCAATCTACTAAATAAGCTAATTTATCTCCAAAATTCTATCAATTATATTTAATTCCATTAATTGATTTAGATTGGGCCCCAAATTCAATTTTAATTTATACACAAAATTAATTTGTTTAATCTCACTAATTACTTTAGATTTGCCCCAGATCCACCATTAACACCATCACCAATTTACTATGCACCACCCATTATTGCCTCCACCACTTGTGAAATCCACTGCACAAGCCCACCCAATTTGCCCCCAAATCCACAGCACAAACCCACCACACCATCAATCACCACCGCCACAACCCACCTTCCACCGCCACCTTAATTTACCTTTGCCAATTTCTCAGTAATACCCACAACTAAGCACCACTAGTCCACAACCCAGCACTGCCGCAGTCCAATTCTTCAACACCCATAAACAAACCCCCCCTCACCCCCCACTGCTTGAGATCCCGTTCCCCACAACACCACCAACATGTCTATTTTCACGCCTATTTTCAAAGTGGTTAGGCGATGTGGAGAGAGAGAGACTACCATGACCATCAAGAATCACACACAAGTCTCCAAAATTTGAAAACACTCTCTCTCTATGGTCACTCACTTGCCCCCATTGACCATGAAAAACTCAAATCTAAAATCGAACGAACTCAAATCTCAAAAATTCAAAAACTCTCTCTCTCCTCCATTTGACCATGAGGAATTTAGTTATGAAAAATCGAAAGCACGCAGATCAACTCGCAGATCCCAAAAATTGAAAAGTCAAACTCAATGAGAAAATCGAACACTATCTAGAAAATCAATCGTAGGTCTAAAAAATTGAACTCTTTGACACTCTCTACTCTTTGGTGTGATGTGGATGACTGAACGTGGTGGGTGACTGTGGTGGGTTGTAGGTTTTGAGGTGTATTGGTTGTGCCTTGGAGGAGGTGGGTTTGGGTTTTGAGCTTTTTGGGTTTGGCAATGATGGCTTATAGTTGTGGGGGTGGTGGTCGTGGCGGGAGTTAGGATGGTGAAACGTGGTGTGACAGTGAGGCAAGAGATATTGAGAGAAGAGACAGTGGTTGGTGGTTGTGGGCGGCAGACTCTGTTGGGAAGTGGTGTTAAAGAACGGAGGACATTCGTTTTGTATGAATTTGCTTCTTTCTTTTTTTTCAATTTTGAACAAAGGATATTATTGTCATTTTTTCACTTCGGTTAACAACATCCAGTATTAACGGCATTTGGGATCTTAGTGTCATTTTTGAAATATAAAGGAGCATCCGTGTAATAAAGCCAAATGGCAGGAGGGGTGTGGGTGAACATTAACCTAAATATTTTTGTTGACACCGTGAACCCAACATCTATAGGTTAAATGATTGCTTTCATTTTCTCAATTCTTCTTGTTTAAAATTGCTATCCACCTTTTGTTTTTATTATTATATCTTGAGTACAACTTTAACAAGTATAGTCTTGGTAATTATATGTTCTCTCATAGTGTAAAATATTCATTAATCAAATGTTTAAGTTTTGTTGGCCACATGTCAAAACATATTTATTGTTTAGTAGTAGACACAGTCTACAGAAGTGTCGGACATGTCCCCAAAAAAGTTTCAGACATATGTGTGAAATTGAAATTTTATCATTTGATTATAGGAACAGATAAAAGAGTATCCGACACGTGTCGGAGGAGTGTCAGTGTTCGGCAAGGATACATCACCATCTTGAGAGTGTCCATGCTTCATAGATATACATATAGATTTTATATGCTCATATATTGTTTTGGCAGGCTTTATGATCCTCGTGAACCTGAGCTGCAAAAGATGCTGCACAGAGAAGCTTTCTTTCCGTCTGCCAAGTTCTCCGACCCGGAAACTCTAGAGACTTTGGTTAAACTTGGACTTAGACAAACCTTAAGCTTTACTGGTTTGCTGGATTGTGCTAGGTCAGTTTCTATGTTGTATGATTCAAGGAACTCAGAAGCAATCATATATGGGAGGAGGTTACTCGGTTGTTTAGATGTAGTGGCATTGAAGCTCTCATCTGTGGTCGGTGAAGACAATTTTAATGAATCTAGAACTACTAAACAATATCAGGATGCCAGTGTAGTTAATGATGAAGACGACAAGAACTCTGCACATGGTTCTGAGAGCTGCTTTAAGTATGGTCTAGACATTAATTCATTAGTGGGAAGCTTCATTAATGTTGAGCCAGGAGAAGATTTTTGGTCCGAATTGAAAACCATCAGTTGGTGTCCCGTTTATGCTGATCCTCCTGTCCAAGGCCTTCCATGGCAAGAAACAGGTTATGAAATAGCTGCTCCAGTAATTACGAGGCCCAAATCACAGTTGTGGATGGTTTCATCTAAGATGAACATACTGGATAGTGAATGTTACTCAACGTACCTACAGTGTAAATTGGGTTGGATGGATCGACTAGATATTGATATTTTGTCAACACAATTGATTGGGCTATCAAAGTCCTATGCTCAGCTCAAGTTGCATCCTGTGGTAGAACCTGATTTTGATGCTGCCTTGCAGAAGCAGATCCCATCACTTTATTCACAATTGGAAGAATATGTTGGTACTGATGATATCTTTGTCCTTAAATCTGCCTTGAATGGTGTTAACTGGGTCTGGATTGGAGATGATTTTGTATCTCCAAATGCACTTGCATTTGATTCACCGGTGAAATTTAGTCCCTACTTGTATGTTGTACCATCTGAGTTATCTGAGTTCAGAGATTTGCTTTTGGCACTAGGTGTTAGACTTAGTTTTGATGTTTTCGACTACTTCCATGTTCTGCAGCGCTTGCAAAATGATGTGAAAGGGTCCCCACTTTCAACTGATCAGTTGAGTTTTGTCCTTTGTGTCCTAGAAGCTGTTGCAGACTGTGACTCAGATAGGCTAATGCTTGAGGCTTCTAATAAGCAATTATTGGTTCCAGATTCTTTTGGAGTTCTTACGTGTGCAGGGGATCTTGTGTATAATGATGCACCATGGATGGAGAACAACACTGTTGTGGGTAAACGTGATATGCATTCAAGTATTAGCCATGATCTGGCAAACAGACTGGGGATTCAATCAATACGTTGCCTCTCTTTAGTCAGTGAAGAAATGACAAAAGATTTACCTTGCATGGAATATGCTAGAATATGTGAGCTGTTGGAAATGTATGGGAACAATGAGTTCTTGTTGTTTGATCTTCTTGAGTTGGCAGATTGCTGCAAAGCCAAAAAACTTCACCTGATCTTGGACAAGAGGGAACACCCTCGTCAGTCTTTGCTGCAGCACAATCTGGGTAATGAATTTTAGTTTTGGACTTTGTAGTTGCTTTATTAGTATTGAGGAATTTTATAAGCTTTTGTATCCTTTGATCTCTGAGGTGACCTTGATTTGCACTGTGCTAATGCTTTTTCTCTTATCATTGGCCTCACCGCTGAACCATGTTGCTGAGGTAAGAGATAATATTAGCTTGTGATTGGTGTTGAAGGAGAGAGATGGGCGAGAAGGGCAGGCTGCTGTTATTGCCTAATATTTATACTTGGTAGGGCAGAACCTAATTAGCTTGCCTTAGATGACTCCTTGATTCAACTTGCTGGTTTATGTGTTGTTGCATTTCCTAGTATTTTTCTCTTTGTTTTGAACATTCTGAATTCTTTTCATTGAAATTGTTATTTGTACAGGTGAATTTCAAGGGCCTGCTCTGGTAGCCATTCTAGAAGGGGCCAGCTTGAGTGGGGAGGAAGTATCGAGCCTCCAGTTTCTTCCACCTTGGAGTCTACGGAATGATACTCTTAATTATGGCTTGGGATTGTTAAGCTGTTATTCCATATGTGATCTTGTGTCAGTTGTTTCTGGAGGCTACTTCTATATGTGTGATCCTCGTGGTTTGGCTCTTGCCACACCTTCAAGTCATGCCCCTGCTGCAAAAATGTTCCCTTTGACAGGTAATTTGTCCATGCACCTCTCATAATTGGTCCTATCATTACTTGATTCCAGATGCATGTATATCGATGTTGAGTTCTTAATCTCTATATTAGACATAGCTTAATTAGTCTAGGGTAATATTGTAATTACCTTCATATTGCTCATATATATAAATAAAGTGTAGGGCAACCTAGCCACTACACATAATAGAGTGCTCTCCCTTGCCTCTTCTTCTTTTCTCTTTCTCTAACCCTAATATTCTATTTATTATTTCAACTATCGACATAAATTTATACATGTGGATATATAAATGCTTACTTACTTACATTGCCCACTTTAGTTCTTTTTGGTTACCCACTTCAAGAGTGTCAGGGGTATTCAACTGCATCAATGACTTAGCCCAATAGAGCATCCAACCAAAACCAATTGGCAATAGGTGGCCTTCATGTATCAAAACCAACCTTAGGTCTACTTAATTTTTCGATGTGGGATAGATCCCTTCACTCTCGAGGTGCTCAAATCCGCATATAGAAATTAATCTCTTCACATATATTGACTTTAGCGGTTGAGGAAAAAAATAATGACAAACCACAATATTTTTCAATATTTGGTCATTCTTTGGTGGCAGAAGTTCATGCCCCCTGGTAGCAAAGTTCATGCCCCCATAGCCCTTACCTGGCAGTTTTTATTATGTGTTATTTGCAGGGTCTAGGGAGGTTAGGAGTAAATTAAGACAATGCGTACAAATAGACAGACTAGGCTCATCCTTTTACGTTGAGGTTGCAAGTCTGTTTATGATTAAGACTTCAGGTGGTGTTGAAGCCAACTCATTCATGCTAGTCATCTTAGAGCTATGAGTCAACACGCTCACCATCTCTTCTATAGTCACCTTGTTTATATATTGAAAAAGCTTTAGAATATGAGTTTCAATTGTTATATTAAAGTCTTTTGTCTCCTTCCCAAGGTAGCATTGCAGAGCGGGCGATCCCTTTCTTGTTTATCCAACTAGTTTTTCCTCAAAATTTTAGTCCATATCCGAATCCATTAATAATCGGACATTCGATCTAGCAATCCAATCTGAAATAATTGAATTTCAATAAAATTTTGTAAAATGATCAATTAGTTCCGAAAATTATAGTTGGATCTTAACAAAATTTTACCAATTGATCACTTAATTCCAACAATTTATCCTCCATTTCATTTTAATTTTATGAATAATAAAAAAAAAACTAAATACAAATTGAATTTAACTTGAGAGGTACAAATCTTTTCAACTAACCCGAAACCCTAGCATATCATGTTCACATTTGAGGCATATTCGCACATTGTTTCATTCATTTCATCTGTAAGATGACGAATCCCATGAATTTCTCCAAAAATAAAAACTAAAACTGTTGTAGTGAAGGGAGAGGAAAAGGAGGAGGGCAAAAGCCTTAGAGATAAAGGGTGAGAAGTAACAGAAGCTAAGAAGTATGGATACTTGGTGGAGGGGTGCCGTGTCCGACATGGTTAGAAGTATCTTGAATAGTAAATTTGTATTTTTTAGTTGGAGATAGTCAGGACACGATTAGGATAAACAACCAAGATACGACAATGATTGTTCTTTTTTAATCTCACGATTATTAGCTATTAAGAGGTGTAAGATTTCTTTATTTTGTTTTTGGGTTTTTTGTTATGTAATTTATGGACTGTGAATGTTAATGGATGTAATGATATTTGATTAAAATAGTGGATGTTTATTTTGATCTATTTCAAATTCAATAAAAAAAATTAATATTTTATAGATCTTATTGTTATAAAATTTGCTTTGTTTTTTATATATTACAATTCAATGATTATTTTAAAAATATATAATATTATTTTATTTAGTTGTATATTTGTCGTACTCGTGTCTTATATTTTTGAATTTTGTTATACCTCTGTGTTCGGATTCGTGCTTCCTAGAGAAGAAGAGAGAGAATGAGAGTAAGAGAGGGACGAAGAGCAAGATAGTAGAAGCATGAGAGAAATAAAGACAACATAAAAGGAGGAAGACGAAGAAAGTAGAAGTGATAGTGAGAAGAGAGAGAGCAAAGTGAGAGAGAAATAGAGAAGAGGGGAATAGATCAGTGTTTACATGGAAGAAAAAATGAGAGTGTTTATGGGTAGTTGTGAAGTGGGTAGCCATGGATGGATTTTCAGGGAAGGTGGCGAGAAACATATGTGGGAAGAATTAAATTGGGGCCTGGGAACGGAGTTGCAAGGGAGGTGATGGGTGTGGGAAAGTGGGGGTTGCATTGTCTTAATGCAGTCCTAGGTTAGAATAAAGAGAAAACTTCTTGGAGATAATGTACTACCTAGGGAGCACAGATACAAGATCCGGGTATGATATGATACGGATACGGTGATCCCAAAAATAGGATTTGGGTACGGCCGGGATACGTCTATAAATATATATATATATATATATATATATTTTATATTTTTAGGGTGTGTTTGGCGCAGCTTGGAGATGGACTTTGCGAGTGGAGAAGTCCATTTGGAGAATTGCAAGCTGTTTGGTGGGCCAACAAATTTGACTTCTCCATGAGAAATGCTTCCTTCAAATGGGCATTAGGAAAAGCTAGTTCATTGAGCTTCTCAAAGCCATGCTTTTAAGCTTCTCGCGAAGTCAGTTCCTTAATTTTAGCTATGGAACTAAATTACTCTATTTTCCTTAATTTTCTTACCATAATCCCTATTTTAAGATTATTTTTTTTTGGGTCAACTATTTTACCATTAGAGAATAATTGGTTTACATACCCACACAAAGGAAAATGTGAAAACTTTTTTGCATTTGTTTTCAATGAGAAAGTTATGGTTTTTCACTAATTATCATTAAGCTTTTTGGTTTAATTATTAAGTTTTAAACATATTTGCTTTAATTAAATTATTAGTGTTTTCGCTAGTGTGATGCACATATTTTTTGTCATTTTAAAATTTATTTTTCTTTCATCTTTTTATGTAACAAGATAGATAAAAGAATAATACTAAATTATTGAATAGAAAAAAATAATTTTATACAATTATATTTAAAAAAATAGTGAGAGTTAAGGAATGGTTACAAACGACACATGGTAGAATGTAACTTGAGGAAACCTTGGTATGATAATTAAAAAAAAAACAAAAATCTAGGAAATTTAGAAATGTGAAGGGAAGGCTTCTCAAGCCTTCTCGACCTAATTTGTTTATTTTGTATATATGATAGAATTGCCAAAACTATTAGAAAATGACTTTTAAAATTAATAAAAAGATATTTAGGATAAGGTTAAGGGTAAGATTGTTAAACAAGTGTCATTTTATACTTTTGAGATTGCTACCAAACTCACTTTTATATTATAACATGAACTTCTAGATTTATAATCACTTTTAAATACACATTCACCAAACATGTAACACTTTTTAAAAGTCCATCTTTGCAAGTTCATTTTAAAAAAAGTCTATTTTTGAGATGCACTTTTATTTTGGAAAGTTACGCCAAACGCAGCCTTAGTATTATGTAATGCTTTATAGCTACAATTTTTAGTGATTCTTTAATAATAAACAACATAAACAATTTTTTATTCTCAAAAAGTTACCTATTGTCTTACTATGGTACATGTACAAAGTGAACGCGATTAATTAAAGGAATAAGAATTAACGTTTAACTATATTGTCTGCTTAGAAGTATTTGTTGCTAAGATTATAAAATAATCGACTCATTTAAACTCTTTGGACATATGACAATGGATAATCATTGGAAAACACCCCTGGAAAACACAAGGGTGAACAAATGAGTTTTTTTTAAGTTATATATTTTTGTTGATGTATTGCTTTGTATGTAAAATCAAAAGAAAGGGGTAAAGATTAAAACTAAAATTACATGCTTCTCTACATATAGAAGTATCTGCGAAATATCCATATATTTTATTTATTATTGGATTCGTTTGGTGTGTATTCGATACGTATCCTCGAGTATCTGACGAGTATCATATCCAATACGGTATCCGATACGGATACGTCGATTATAACAAAGTATCCGTGCTTCATAGTGTACTACCAAACAACTAGCAATATCACACTAACGCATTAACAAATGGAAACAAGCCGTCAAAGGTAACCAGCATTTGTAATAAAGAAGTGAGTGCACAAGTCATGTTCAGTAAATAACAGCTCTAAAGACTCAAAATATTCTGTGGACAACATTGTAGGCAATAATAAGCAGGTGGGGAAACTTGGGGTTCAGATTCTAAGGTCTTTTACTTTAGTTATGGTAGGGAATGAAATTCTTGAATGTTTAAACCATTTTCCAGTCATCTTTAACAGCAAGTACTGCTGGAAAAATGTAAGAATAGGTTCTGGCAGTAATGGTCAGCAAGAAGGAAGGGGAAAATAGGGAATAATCTCACCGGGCTAGCTATACAAGCTTTCAAGCGCAAGAATTATGCAAGTAGCTGTGCAGAGAAATCTTCAACCACCCCTTGAACAAGCTTAGGAAAGAGAGAATAGTTAAATGGATTGGATTAGTAAAATAATTAAGCTACATCATGTCTCCTCCCAAGAAAGTTATTATATGTATAGTCAGTCGGGACATATTTTAAACGGATTGGATTACTATATATCCATATTCGATCAAAGAGGTATAAATGGATTCAAATAAATGGATTAGATTGTGATCCAAATCCAGTCCAGTTCAACAAATTCGGATTCGGATTAGATTCAGACCAAAATCTGTTTCGTTGACAAGCCAAGTTCTAAGGGGTTGTGGGGGGTGGGTGGGTCCAATGTAGACATAGCCTTCAGATCGATAAGAGAGAGAGAGGGACTTTTTTTTTTTGGACAAAGTGGGAAATTTCAATTGCATCCCTTTTATGCGTGAGTGACAAACATTTCAAAAAGAACATGAAAGTGACCATTTAAAGTAAAAGAAATAAAGCATTGAAAAGAAAAAAATCAACACGAATTTGTCTCATATCTTATTTTAATAAATATGTAAAACAACAGTCTCGCCATTACGGGATCTGAGGGGATAGATGTGTATAAGCCTTA